AATTGTTCTGACATCATGAATCAAAAATCAGCTGTTCATCAGAGTGATGGCTTGTGGGAAGAAGCTGTTCCTGAGTCTGTTGGTTTTGGCGTACAGTGCTCTGTAGCGCCTACCAGAGGTCAGAAGCTGGAACAGGTTGTGTCCGAGGTGAGATAGATCTGCAGTGATGTTCCCTGGAAATGTATAAGTCCTGAATGGAGGGCAGGTTGGCACTGATGATGTTTTCTGCAGTCCTGACTGCGTTGTAGTCTGTCCTTGTCCTTTTTGGTGGCAGATCCAAACCAGACAGTGACAGTGGACTAAATGATGGCTGTGTAAAAGTGGATCAGCAGCTCCTTAGGCAGGTTGAGCTTCCTGAGCTGACGCAGTAAGTGCATCCTCTGCTGGGCCTTTTTGATGATGGTGTCCGTGTTGGGCTCCAACTTCAGGTCCTGGGAAATAGTGGATCCCAGAAACCTGAAGGATTTCACAGCAGACACAGGGCTGTTGAGTAAGGTGATGGGGGGCAGAGTGGGAGGGCTCCTCCTGAAGTCCACCATCATCTCCACAGTTTTGAGCGTGTTAAGCTCCAGGTTGTTCTGACCGCACCAGAGAGCCAGCTGATCAACCTCCCGACTCATCACCGTCCGTTGTTGTTGATGACTGTTGTGTCATCAGCAAACTTCAGGAGTTTGACAGATGGGTCTCTAGAGGTGCAGTCGTTGGTGTAGAGGGAGAAGAGCAGTGGGGAGAGCACACTTCATGACTCCAGATGTCAGGGCGACAGGTCTGTAGTCATTCAGTCCAGAGATGGAGGGTTTTTTGGGGACCGGGATGATTGAGGAGCGTTTGAAGCAGGAGGGAACTTCACACATCTCCAGTGATCTGTTAATTATGTGTGAAGATTGGGGCCAGCTGGTCTGCACAGATTTTCAGGCAGGATGGAGAGACACCGTCGGGGCCAGGAGCCTTCCTGATCTTCATAAAGGGGGAAGGTGACCGTTTGAAGATGGTGTTGGACCGGAGGTGTGACTGTGGGTTTTTCAAACCTATAAAAACCATTCAGCTCGTCTGCCAGTTGCTGAGTACCAGCAGTGTTGGGGGATGGTCTCCTGTAGTTAGTGAATAAAAAGGTTGACAGTTTATAAGTAATGTCTCTAAGTGAGGGATGCATGATTTTTCCAACACTGTGACATCTGTGCACCAACCTTCGCTTATATAGAAACAGAGTGCGCCTCCCCTTGTTTTTCCCGTGAGCTCCCTTTCGCGATCCGCGCGATGAGATTAAATCCCGGTAGGTGAACAGCGCTGCCAGGTGTCGTGCCGAAAAGTGATGGTCCGCCGAAAATCGATTGCCGCCTACGAGAGCGCGCGCAGTGTGTTAAAGCTGTAGGCTATGGCCCAGTCTCTTTAACACACAGGTGCAGCTCAATGTGCTCTACAAAAAAGCCTCATGGACCATTAAGGTCCGCCAATAAAAGCATGTCGATATCTTAATAAATACATAAAATAAATAATCAAAAATCAAGATGGAAGATTTGAAAAAGACCATTTAAAATTCTACACTTTTTAAAACTGCGTTCAATTGACAGTTCAGTAGCTGGGTGTGCTGTCCTCTATTGAAGCTGTCATTCTATTGTATTGTAGCAGATAGTTGTCATACTGTACCATAAGCTGCCGTTGACAGGTACTTTAGCTGCAAAACTGGTTTCTCACAAAAACATGGGAAATGAAAATAAGATTCCAGCATTCACGTACAAGACAACTTGTTAAACACGACCAGCAAAGTAATCATTCTACCTCGGACATGAAGTAATAAAAATTATGCTGTGATCCACAGTATCAAAGATGGACTAAGATCCAACAGCACCAGAACAGAGCATTCAACTAACAACTATTAGCTATCAGTGTGGGAAGACAGCACTGCACTTGGGTCAAAAGCTACAGAAAACTTCTCAGCTGAGAGGAAATTAATGTGTTTGGCGGTATCGCTCTGTTCTGGGATATGGGACAAGGCAGGTAGAGCACAACTCTCTGGCCTTCCACGTGCCTACATGGAAAAGCCATAAGGCAGGGGGAGCACCTACCTGCCCATCCATGTGCATACACTGAAAGCCAGAGGCAGAGAGAGATGGCTGCTATCAGCTGATGTGCTGGGATTGTAAGGTGAGATTGACTTCATTAACTGGCTGAACTAATGCTATGCTTGATTTATGGTCAGCTCCTCAGAGCAAATAGAGTCAATATTTAAACCAAGAGTAAAAACAAGGTCTAAGGTATAACCCTTAATGTTCATCGATTAAAGTCACCAACAATAATAATTCTATCCAATCTCATAATAGAGGATAAAAAATGAAATGAAATGAACATGAAATAATTAAAACCAGAAGGAACAGTTCCATTAGGGAGGCATATTTCACGCTCATCCGCCACATCTCTGTCACAGTAAATCCAAGTCTTTACAGGTAAATAAATTGTTTCTATGAAGGCTTTACTTAATGGAGTGAGCATTTATCATCACCATTCTGAAGGGCACAGACCCACTGCCTGCAACAGCAGAGGCCCGAGCCAAGGGGGATGGTTGTGAGGGTCTGATCCACCATGCACAGCAGGACGTCTCACAGGAGGGGAGGCCCTATCTGTAACAACAGTCTGAAAAGGAGATGATGCACTGCCTGCTTTATATTAGGGTCAAGAAGATTGTGCCCAGCTTTTTGGGTGAAGTCCACAAACAGATTAAAATTATCAATAAAACAAACACTGTGAGCCCTGCAAGCAGACTGAAGCCAGTCATGGAGACAAAGGAGTCTCATGAACATACTTTTCACAATGCTTTAAGAAATTAAAAAGATGGTTAAAATCTAATTTAGTTAACTCTTGATGAGCTGTTTAATTTGTTCCCACATGGACTATTGCTCTTTTAACAGAGGACAGGAGTGATGGCAGTAAACCCTGGAACTCATTTAAGATGTCAGAGGCACCAGGGACTGCGTTAAAGACACACTATTGGAATCACCGACAATCAGTGTTGAGGGGGAGCAAAGCAGCTGAGGGGATTTAGGCTAGGCTCTGTCAGGACAAAACAGAGCACATTCAGGATCCAGCCAAAGACAAGTTTCCACAAATGGATTGTAATGTTTTATGTTATTTTATTCATAGTGTGCGTTATGTAGTCATAGCCGGCGACTGGTGCAGCGAGGGGGTGGAGTCCTTCTTCTGTGCCGTTTTTTTTCAAAGATTATCTGTCTCATGTACTACTGTCCAAATATAGTGACAGTTTCAGAAAATAAATAATTGTACACATGAAGTTCAGTTTACGCTTCAGTAATGGTTCATCCTCTGAAAGCAGCTGTATAATGCTTTCTGTGGCTCCATAAGATATAGCTACATAGAGCTTTCCAGTATTTTATGAAACAACCCTTGTGACATCATTTGCTTGGATTGGGCATGATTTTAATTTGTTTAATTTTTGCATTTTGGGAATGTTGGCTCCAATATTGTTGAAGCTTAACACACACTAACAACCAAAAAGTAATTTTGGGAAAGAAACTTATTCACTCTCTGGTAGTGAGTTATTTTTAAATCATTTAAATATAAGGCTTTATCTGGAATTCGGTCTGCTTAGCACAAAGAATGAAAACAGAGGGAAACACTAGCCTGTCTCTGTATGAAGATTTGCTGAATTATGGGAGTGGATATGTGCAGGACCATTTATTACATGGGAGCAAAAATTTCCCTCTCCGCTTGTTACCCGACAACTGCTACCAGCCAAAAGATTGTCCCCTACCCCCACCCGTAAAATCACTTTTCTTTTTTTTTAGACACTTTGCTGTGCACATCGATTAGACGTGGTTATCACAACATAATTTTGCTGAATCTCAAGGAATGCTACTTCTACTAAGTGTAAAATAATATTTAGGACTCTAAACATTCATAAAATATATACCAGTACTTCGAGTCATTTCTCACCATTGATGAATCCCACAAAGAATATTATAGCATTTAAATGCAATATTTGGAAGTGCATGCAATTCTCAGCAGGCATGCAAAATTCGACTACCGTCGTAGTGAACTGCATTTTGTTAGCTGTGGTGTTGTCGCTGTAGTGGGCAAGTTTATAGATAGTACAAGTGGCCATCAATATAAACAATAGTGATTTGGTCTGACCAAACCATTGATTAGGTGAGAAGAGATTTATTGGCTATAGAAATCACCAGTAGTTTGTTTTTACGCACTAAAGCAGAGTAAAATGCAGTATCATAACTAACGGCACTTTTGCAGACTGCAAAAAAAAGCATTTGGTTATTTACACAGATCAATGGCAGGGGGCCTACATAAAAGAGAAAAAAGTAAAGATATAAATTGGTTTGATCAATAATGATATAGACTCCCTATTCTGCCTTGCATTCATTAATTGATTGGTTATATAAATTAAATTGTTTAGGATTTTTAATTTAATTTATGTGTAGATGAATATTAGTTAGTTTGTGTGTTAGTGTTACTACTGTTGTGGAAGCATGTTTTTTTTTTTGTAATCTAACTTGTGTATCTTTTGTTATTTGTCAGTGTGCATCAGTGACCAAACTGATTTATAACTTAGATTATATGGACAGGGAAAAGCACTACATCCGTTTCACCAGATAAAAACCCATGCTGGATTGAAACATCACATTAAAGAAGTGAAATAAAAAAAGGCCTTGTGTTCTTACTTGTTGGATTATTTATGGTGATGCACCGATGTACTACAGTTTCTACATTGTATAAGTCATTGATGCTTATTTTCCACTATGGGGAGCTGATATAATGATTTTTTCCCTGTTAGTTTGGGGAGGAGCCATTGATGTTCTGTGCTGCTCCCATTTGAAACAATGGAACAGTTTATGTTTGGACCAGTATTTGTTTCCTTTTTGATTCTGTGGTTTGCTTTCATTTTTATGTCACAATCAGACACTGCTAGGTCAATTGTTACCATGCACCTTTCTACCAAAAGGAAGACAGAGAACATCCATTTTTTAGATATATTGTGTCACCATGTTTTTAATCAGCTGTATGAGAAGCAGGCCTCAAATGTATGTTTAATTTTAAATGATCAAAGAAATCTAATCATTCAATCAACAATACCTTTCCACAACTTAATATCAGTATTATCAATAGTACTCAAAATATGAATGCATGATCCTTGATTGTGTGTTCACATGGTCTATATCTTAATAATGACATATTCACAACCCCGTTAAGCTTTTTAAAAAGTTAGAATGGCATCAAGCACCCTGTAATACATACTTTAAAGTTGGGTAACAAATTGCATAGCTTAAAGAATTTAATTAGTTTTACAGTAAGATTAATCACACAGTTGTACATACACTCAGTTGGCAGGTGATTAGGTTCACGTAGCAAAATAATTCAATAAAAACTGAACATTATAACCATCCTCCACGAAAAACTACTGTGGTAAATGTATGGTAATGGATGGCATATTCAGTGTTGTCATGGTACTGGCCAGTGCCATCATAAGAACTTAACTGCATATCTTTAGATTTTTGTGTTTGGATCATTTTGATAACGTCACCTTTAGCTCAAGCAAACTAATTCATAGGATTTATTGTGGAGCTGTTGTAGTGGAATGTTTTAGTTTTAGCTATGTGTATCAAATGAACAGGCAACTGACTGAGTATGTAGTTGATTTTCCAAAGCCAAAAGAACACTTTAAAATGTAACTCTTTGCCACACTAAAATGAGGCCTGAGATTGTGATGCTAAGGCAAGGAAGAAAAGACTGAACAACTCTGGTGGAGAAAGACACAAGAGATGTTGAAGGCTGTGTAGATGTTGAAGGCTGTGTAGTGACGGTAGCCGTTGTCCGGACACTGTAGACACAGGAGCCTACATTACCCACCCGATCCACAACCAGCAGCTCCACATCAGGCGAACAGCAAGATGCATTGTAGAACACCAGCGTTATGTTATTGTTGTCAGCGTCCAGGCTGGTATTCATGGTACCGTTGCCTTGTCTGAGGCTTACACGGTCAATACCCGTCCCATTAGCCCCATCAGTCACCTGAACAGAGAGCTCCCACATGGACAAGGTGCAATCATCAGAGCAGTTGGACTGCAGTCTGAGCTGCTGACACACTGGCTGAGTGAAATCGGTCACCTATGAGGAGAAGAAAAATTGATAAATCCAATAATGAAAGGATTAAATAAGCTTGATCATTCACTGACTTAACATTTACTGGAATGTGATTTTCTTCAGCTCGAGAGTTACCGTTTTAAGGACAGTGAAACGCAGAACAACATAGTTGGTGTCTGCACCTCGCGGAGCCTCAGCCTCAACAGTCAGGGTGACGTCAGTACCAGATGGGGTGTCAAGAGGTGCAGTGAGATTCACTGTACCATCAGCACTGCCTCCAGTTTCCAGGAATAAAGTGGATGGGGATGTTAAAGTAAAACCTCGGTCATTGGTAGCTTGGATCTTGAAGTTTCCTCCCACACCATCAGTCGTCACTGAGAAGGGAACTGAAAGTGGTGTTCCTGGTACTAAGACACTCTGTGAATCACCCTAAAAATGAAAGGAAAGTGGAAAACAGTCAGCATCAGCTGTTTAACAGAAAGACTGTGGCAGTGTAAACCTAGCTTAAAAGTCATGGATGCTTTTTACTTACAGCTGTAACAGTCACAGTAGAGGCTCTGATGCTGGTGGGTGACTGCCTTTGGAACATCACTGAGGACTCTTTGGAGGAACCGATGTTGTTCTGCCCCTTTACAAGCACCACAAACTCCTGTGATGGTATCCTGTCAAACTGAGCTAAGAAGTGTCCTCCACCCTGAGCCTCCACGCTGCCATTAACTTCTCCTGACCCCAATGACTCAACAAGGATCACTTCTGTCACCGTGGTGGTGTCACTCCCAGTTACCGTCACCATCAGACTACTGTTGACACCTTTAGCAAAATAGAGAATCCACTAAATGCTTAAGTAAATCAAATTACTTTGGCAAATCACAAGTTTTGTTTCCTTTACCAGCTCTGGGACGATTGTCTACAACATCAAAACCTCCAAACGGGCCCTGCGATACCTCCAAAAAGTCAAACAGGAAGTCAATGGGACTCTCACCTGCAAATAAAAGATAAAAATAAAATAAAATCCTGATCATCTGTAAGGTATTCATTCCTCTACCGTTTCTGTGAAGCATATTTATCACCATAATTTTGTTTAAAGACTAAAACTACAAAGTCTCCACAAAACAGCAAATACAAAATTCATTCTGCAGAGAGTAGTTCCAGTGAAAACTGCTGAAAGCTAAATCTTGGGACTTTTCCGAGTGACTGCAACAGTGTCTGTGGAAAGACACATTGTTGTTGTATATTTTAAATTGTACATTTATTCATCCACCTCCTCTATATAAATAATACCAAACCTATGTGCATGGCTACATATTACTTACTGTTGTAATTTGGGTAGGTAAAGGAGGTAGTTACACCTAAAATAATAATAAAGTTATTTATTATGTGATCTCACCTACAACCTTGAGACTGTAGGGACTTGTTGAAACCATTTCAATTTCCCACAGTCCCACTTGTGTTTTTAGCTGCAGAGTCTTGAAATTTCCGACTGACTGGGATGCAGCGATCAATGCTCCTGTCATGTCCGTGCTTTGCTGTGATTCACCTATAAGCAAACATTGGTTAACAGGACAAGAGATAAACTTTTTTGCATTCATTTTAAACAACGAAACATTTCATTTTCTTAGATCAGCTGTAGTAAAGTTGTAGTGTGCTTTGTTTTCTCTGTACCACAGTGCCACACTTGGCCTAATATTACCACCAAATGGGGTCAAGAATTTCTTTCCCCTTAAAATCAGTGTTTTTGTGTCAGTGTTAAATTAATGCCTATTAACTGCTACAATAATACAAGTAATAACTTTTAAATATTTAATCTGCAAAAAAGTATCACCTGAGGGACTGATGAGAGTAAAGATCGCAGAGCTCCCAGTGAGGTAAACTGTAAGGTTTCTTACTGACTCATCAACTGTGAAGGTGAAATTTTCTGTCTTTCCTGGACTCCTGGCCGCCTGCAGAAGGGTCACCTAGGAACATAAATAAAACTGGTGACACAACGGAACACAACTTTTTTTTATGTTTAGAAAAGTGAGAGCATTTTGTTGATACCAGAGAGGGGCTGGAGGACTCTGTTATGATGCTAGTGGCATTTGGGAGGTCACTCTTTGTGACTTCAATAGCCTGACCTCCGGAAGCCTGAGCCAGGTCTCTGTACAGCTGAGCATCTGATTTTACCATCCGACTTTGTTGTTGTTGTTGGTCATTACCACTCTGTCTTCTACGACGAGATCCCAGTATGTTAGTAATCATGAAGTTCACCTGAAAAATAAAACAGATGAATGACAATTTAAGGTGAAAAATGCACTTACTGGGGCTGTAAGTTTTAAGTTAACCAAAAGGCGTTATGTTTAGAATTCACCAAATGGTCAGAAATGATAATAGGGTGGGGAGAAACTGCGGCTGCCCACTGCTCCCAATAGGCCTACTTTGGATTGGTTAAATGCAGATAACTAATTTTGCTATGTGACAAGAAAAGTTTATTCAAAGTTTATTCATTCTGGAGCCCCACCCGCGCGACTTGTTCCACTCTGCCTCTCGTATTTTCATTAATTCTGAACGTGTCGCATGTCCACATTGCACCAACTGCGACACTGCTCTCCCTTAGGTCCGCAGCAACACACCCACCATGTGCAGTGTTTGGCAGTAACACGTTACTCGGTACCGGACCTTATGTTGTTCATGTCAGCTGTTAGCCGAAAAGCTAAAGGAAGAATGGAGAACGAGGAAGATAGGCGTAACAGCTGTAAGTATCACCATTATTGTGTCACAGTCTAAGATGCAAAGAACACCTTCGTCTGTTGTAAACTTTGTGCGACCAGCAACAAGCTTTCAACCATGACCACTTCTATAATTTCTAATTTATTGAAGCATCTGTTAAAGCAGCACAGCAACAGGAAACTTATAGATAGAAACTCCGGCCACTACTGCCAGTGATGCATTCACTTGTCGGGAGAGCAACGTTATGTTTTGTAAAAGCACTGAATACTGATATTCTAAATGCATGTGCAGAAAAAGAAACAGTAGTTCAAAAGTAAGGATTTTTTTATTTCTGGGTGGTGTTAAGAAACATTAAAGTTTTGTAAAAAACATTTTCCTTGCTGCTGTTATGAATATGACATCAGTTAAAGTCGGGAGGGACTGCTTTGTTTTGGGGGTGTGGTGGTGAAAGTAATATAGTAACGTAACAAGTAACGTAACTAGTTACTTTTTTAAGGAGTAATAAGTAACTAGTAACTTACAATTACAATTCTGAGTAACTTGCCCAAAAACTGACACTGACATAATCGACAGAAATTCTTGCCTTTATTAGAGAGATGTCAGGTTAAAATTATGACCAAAATTGTTTACTAATATCATAATTTAATAGCCAGCACAGAATGCTTTAATGTTATAACATGAAAGAAGCACTTTTGTCAGACCATCCACCATTTTGGTCGAAATATTTGATGGATTTGCCATGAATTTTGGTTCTTTAAATGTTTCACCAAGTGTCAGTTTTTTATGTTTGTTGAATACAAATAAGTGTAAGCAATGTAACCTTTTTAGAGCGCGGTTTCATCACTACGTTGAATGCGTATAGGAGGAAGAAGAAGAAGAAGAAGCAGTAGTGGTAGTAGCAGTAGTCATCTGGCTTGTTAGAAGGAAGAAGAGAAGTGAAAGTTGGACAAATGGTAAAGCAAAAGTTAATACTTGTGCTTTACCATTTGTCCGCGGCTGTTGTGCTAAATAATTTTAGCGCAACAGCCGCCACCGTAGCTTCTCCTGGAAAAAACTTTGCCTGGGGAAGTCTATATTATATAAAAATATTAAAAGAGGATGTGTTGACAGTTTTCACAATTTTTTTGTTGTTAATGTACAACCTCGTACAATGTTAACAAAAGGTACAATGTTTTGACTGCTTAATTTCCATTTGTTAAAGTGAAATTTTGTCATCAGAATTAATGTGAAATGGTACCATCTGAGGAGCGCGTGAATGCACAGTTAGCAGTTGGTTGCAATTCGTGACCCTCACCACTAGATGCCACTAAAACGTACACACTGAACCTTCAAATGTATCTTCTTTATCCAAGGAAGGTTAAAATCAAGGGAAACTGGACTTAGTTTCACATCACATCCGAGAAACTTCTTCAGTTCTGACTGACTGGTAGGGAAATTAATCTATTTAACCACTGATTCGTTAGTGCTCCTGGCTGTTGTAACAGTCGTTATGGGCTTTGGAGACACTCGAGGCCTGAACAATTATTGTTGGCTCTCACCCAGGGCCCAAAGTGAACGTTTGTTGTTTCCCAACCAAACCTTCCTTGGATAACTGTGACCTGGATGACTGAGAATCTTCACAGACATTATGACTCTTCAATTTATTGTCAACAACACATTTATTTCACTATCATTTTCTAAACCATTTGTTAATATTTTACAGTGACACTACTCACCACTGTCTTAGTGCGTTCTATGAGTGCGAGCACTGTGCTTTGCAGGTATGTGTCTTTGGCAGGTGCATCCGTGAAGAGGAAGATCTCAGAATTTAAAGGAGCGCCAGTTAAAGCCAGCTAGATGAGCAAGAGAGGACGGCAGTTATTCAACATAGTTTTACTTTTAACTTTTGTCAGAGGTATATTTTGCAGAGGTATATTTTTAAGTAGTATCAAAGACATCACAGCACCTGCAGCCCTGAAAGACTCATTTCTGGCGTGTCTCCTCCACCGCTTGCTGACAGTGAATTAATAGTATTCCTGAAGACTTTTGGATCTGTAGTCTTTGTTAGTGGCCCAAAATCTGGGGTTCAGGAAGAATTATTCCTTAATATAGGCCTACTGCACATTACAGCACACATAATTCTGCGGGTTTATTTTATTGATTACAGTTTAGCAGGCATAGATGAAGAGCATTTTCATAAACTTGACAACACAAACACCCTTTTAACTTCACTTTAGAGGAAAAAAACTCCTACCTGGATCATTGAAAGGTACAAGAATGTAAACTGAGGGCTCATTCTCTGTTCCCACTTTACTGTCGATTATAGAGGAAGTGACATCCTTCACTGCTTCAATGTCATCGCTCATGCTTCCTGTTGTGTCGATGACGAAACACAGAGCTTTACCAGATCCTTTGGAGAGTCCCATCATTCTAAGGAATGGAGAGAGACAGATAAAACACAGATTAAATCCCCTTGCCTTCTTACAGTTCTGTACATAACTGAAACATGCAGTTACATACTGCAGGAATGCTCTGTCACCAGCAGCCCCTCGAACGTCCTCTAGTAGCTCACTGGTTGCAGCTATTGCCATATTTGCTGCTGTAAAGTGGAGATGTCCATGACTCGCGCTTCTCTCGTCTTTGTTGATCCCACCTTTAGGCTCGATCCTACTTGTTTGATCAAGGAAACCTCCATGGCTGCATTTTCCTGTTCAGCATTTGAACCAGAACAGTTTGTCATACAGCTTAACATTTACCACTTCTTTAGAGACTACAACACTGCTTGTCACAAGACCGTCTTATCTGTAAAAATGTGTTTTTAAGCACGCTAGCATCAAACAAACCTCCATGGCTGCATTTTCCTTTTCAGCACTGGAAATACAATGAGAAGAAAGTGGTTCATACAGCCGTATACACATCCCTCTCCTTTAGAGACTACCACACAGCTTTTCACAATGCTCTCTGTAAATGTGGGTTTCTAGCAGCATGGCTCTATAGGGATAACAAAGTTACTCTGCCAGTTGTTTCACCACTTTGGCCTAGATTGAAACATCTCAACAACTCATTAATGGATTTTAACAACGTTAGACATTCATAGTTCCCAGAGAATAACTTCTGATGACTTAGAAATATAAATCATTTTTAGATCTGTGTCCCAAATGTATAATTCATACAAATTCTAGCAGTGATATTAATTTTGCTTTCTGTTAAGTTTAATCAGCAGTGGCATTTAACGTTGCAGTTTAATTTCTTTTGCGTAGTGCACATTTTGCATAATTTTTAAACGTTCAAAAATTAATGTGTCAAATCAAAAAAGAAGGAACCATGACTGTTCTTGCATTATTGGAAGACATTGAAAATTCTGGTTTTAGAAAAGACTTTTCAGAGATCAGAATGAATTTGTTGCGCATTGCTAATAAATCGCTATTGCCTCCCAAGAAATGTTCAGAAAGATATAATTTCAGATTTATAGATCAGCTTCAGTTACAAATGGGATACTTAAAACATGTAACACATCTGTTATTAATCAAAGCACACAAACACAAGAATAAATCTAAGAACATTTTTATAAATGAGGCTCCAGAACAGGTAAGTTGGTGCACGATAGCTAAACAATGAGCTGAAACTTATTGTAAAAGCTCCGCAGAGCAGAGCTGCAGATTCAGGTTTTAATTCTCTGTAGGTTCAACACTATGAGCGACCCCTTTATATTGTCACACTGTTTTCACGTTGTCATTTGATACAATGGTAGTTATAAATGATCGATTCTAGTTGCTTTAAATACATTTTGAATGCAGGATTTACATATAAAATGTGCGCAACAACATCAACCATATAGATGTTAAACATTTTGACATTTCCAAAACATACATATACACATTTGCAGGGGCATAGTTATAGGCAGTGCTGAAACACAGTACAGGGGCCCATGATGGGAGCATCAACTGTCAATTATATTGTCAAATGCATCTAAGTTTATCATGTAACATTAGATTCCCAGCTCTCCTCCTACTGGTGTTACCATTTTGATTACGTTGGTATATATATATATATACTTTGCCGTGGTGTCAGTCAGTAGTTTTACCCACAAAAGTCTGTAGCAAGCAGTAAAAAACAACCAAACAAACAATTTAACTCCACAGATTCCACAGAATGAATATTGTCTTATTTTCTTTGGTATTCGTGTCAAATAGCTACATACGTAATGATGATTGCTGGGTAATATGTGTATGGCTGTCCAGTCTTAAGTTATTATTTGATCATGTGACAAGACGACACGACTTTCGCTTGGTGAAACGCAAAATCGGACAAGTAGAGTAACTTAGCAGAGCACACTGAAGCACACATTGAAACTTGAAAGTTGTTTCAAGAAAAGACAGGACAGAAAAGAACAGGAGGAGAGGGTTGTAAAGCTTCCAACTAAGATTGTTTTGGATTTTGGACACTGTGAAGATTTTGCTCAATGCAGGTTTGTCAGATGCTTTTTTCAAGGGATTTGGTGTGGCTGCTGTGCTCCTGTTTAAAAGGGGTCAGGTCGCCGCTGAGCACCTGTTTGTGTGGCTGTGGATGTGTTTGTGGGCATTAAACTGGGTGTGTGCCTTAGCTGGCCTGTGTTCATGACGTGGTGTTGTTTTTAAGTAGGCAGCTTTTCTTTCTTATTTAACCATAATCTCTTGCTTTTCTGCTGAAGAAGAATGTGCTTGCCGTGATTCAGGAGGTTAATGTATTAATAATGCTCAAAAAAGATTGCGTCATTGCAGGGTGGAGATGGAGCAGTGGATAAGACACATAACTTTGGCGTAAAAGACCTGGGTTCAAATCCACTGTGAGACACCAATGTTTCCCTGAGCAAGACATTTAACCCCTAGTTGCTCTAGAGGTGTGCAACTTCCGACATATATAGCAATAGCTTTGGATAAAAGCGTCAGCTAAATGAACAGCTGTAATGTCATTTCAGCACTGTGGAAACCTCCTTTGCATGCTGTTTATAGTGACATTTCAGGATTTTGACAATGAAAGCACTGACATTTCTCTTCGACGTCTGTTTTACAATAGTCTAGGTGACACATTCTGACTCTAAAATCCATCACATGATGGTACTTTAGACTGCTTTGTCTGGGCGCACAGAGCACATTAGCAGCAGTAGTGCGTGTCTGTGTTGGAGGGAAGCACACAAAGAGAACTGTTGTTGTTGGGAAGACATTGGAAGGTTAGGTATTTACTGCATATAATCCTATCAGTTGTTGCACAATGAGGAAACAAGGCACACTAATTTGTCGGCAGTTAACTTGCCAGCCACATTGACCACAACTGTCATTTCTTCATATATGAGGATGACACAGGTGCTATTATTGGGTGCATTTGTTGCTATAGAGATGTGACATTTGAGCTGTCCATTTATAAGCCTAATGACAAACATGTATTTCTCAATTTTATAGTAAATCGCATTTGCACTCTAAATTACACACAATTGGTGGGCAGATTAGTAATTTACCATTCGGTTTGGTGGAGAAAAAAGGCACAAGACCGAAATATCCAGAGGTAAGTATCTTTTCCTGTAGGATGTCCTCCAAAATGTTGTTTTTGCAGTCGTCTCCATTACAGTTGCGACAGGTTGCTCTGGTTTTAGCTGTGGAAAAGAACATCCCCGGGACATTTTGACAGAGTTTTATTTTGTAAAATGATCTCTCTAATCATATCATATCTTTCTCCATCTCTGCTTTGCTTTGTTTTGGTAAGACAGATAAACACACACTGATATCACATGCTCTCTTTACCTGCAATGTTCCCAATGCTGGTATCTGATCTGATCAGATTGGAGTTTGGGAGTTTGTTTTCCATTTCCACCCAGTTGCTATGACTGTAGAAATCCTATTATTGAAAAAGGAAGACAAGTTAATAATATAGTTAATATTTGCAACATGTCAAAAACAGCTGCAAACAGAATACTGCTGCTTGGTGAACTTGAATAAGTAACATTTGTGTAAGAAACTTAAAATGGAAACAATTAATACAAAGTACCTGTAAAGTGTGTAAGATTTCTCCCAGTTTTTCTCTTGCTGCCCCAAAGTTCTGTAACTTGTTGCTGGCCTTCACAGCTGATAATCCTTCTGTGATGATTTTCCTTCCCTCTGAAAAACTCTCATCGTCAAAGTGATACATTGAGTCAAAGACATGAAAGATGTCTACTCGCCAGTTGTTTTTTTGGATTAAACTGATGGTTTGGCTGAAGCTCTTGGATGATTTTGACGCTTGACAGGCAACAGCAACAGACTCAGCAGTAAAAGGCTGTGGCTACACACACACACACACACACACACACACACTGACATTACTGCAGAGGCAAATCACATTTATTAATAATACAAGCACTGGTCATTTAAAATAAATAGTCAATATAATTTGGTTGAATTTTATCCTTACAGGAAAAGTGAAGTCTATTCCCTCAGCCAAGGCCATTGCGCGGCACACCTGCACGGTGGTATTTAAAACTGCACTCTGACTGATCATCTGATGACTCAGTGAGTCTCCTCCGAAAAGCCCTATATTAAACCCAAAAGCTCCAGTCTGCAGGAGCAGGAGACACAGCGCAGCCAACCCTGACATCATTGCACAACCTGCCTGACAGACACAATGGATAAACACAGATTATTATACCGGTTATCATAGATGGCCTTTGAGGCAAATCCAGTATTAGTCATTAACTACCTACCTTGCCCAGGTAGTGTCAGGTAGCAACAACGTCAAAGGTATAAGTGTTTAGCATGAAAGTTCATTCTTAATCTTGTCAATAGCTGTTTGAGAAATGCTAATTAAATGTCCTCTTACATGTTTTATATCACCAATAATTATTAGATATGACTATACTGTACCTTTGGACTTGATGTCGTCTTGTAGACTGTCTATATATATGTTCTTGGAAAGCACTTTGGGTCAACTCCTGTTATGTATAAAGTTGACTGACTGATTATATCTATTGTGGCAATTTATTTTATAAAGCTCCGTGGCCAGGGTGGGGCCACTACCGTCCAAGACCTGTTTGACCTGTTTCCATTGCAAAAGTATGTCTGTTTTAATTCTTTCATTTTCATTTCCCATGTTTGTGAGAGTAACCAGTTTTTAGGTTAAACTACTTCTCAGCAGCAGCTGATGGTACAGTATGATAATCATGTCCTACCTTCCAATAAAAAGAGTTTACCTTTTGTAATGTAGTCACAACACATTGTCCATCCATCCATCCATCGTCAACCGCTTATCCTACGTACAGGGTCGCGGTGGGCTGGAGCCTATCCCAGCTTACATCGGGTGAAAGGCGGGGTACACCCTGGACAGGTCGCCAGCAGGGCCACACATAGACAATCACCCACTCACACTCACACCTAAGGACAATTGTATAGACACCAATTGACCTAGCCTGCATGTCTTTGGATGATGGGAGGAAGCCAGAGCACCCGGAGAGAACCCACTTAGACACAGGAAGAACATGCAAACTCCACACAGAAAGGCGTTGTGAGGTGACAGTGCTAATCATGTTTATGTATAAATTGTATTATGTGGATCTTATTTTAGCAAATTACCTGTCACTGTGACCTCCATCCCCAGCTAGTGTTACAACTCACCCCAGTTGTGGGGTAGGTTGTAACAACAGAACTCTTGATATTTGACACTAACTGGTTTGCAAACTGTTTGTCATGCTGTTTGAATTGTAAGGTTACTAAGTTAGCTAACTTGCAGACTTGTTGCAAACATTAACATTGATGTTAGCTTGCACCAATTTCTCCTTTAGTGGTTCAGAAAAAACTTTTAATGTTATTTAAAAAATTGTTACTTGAATGTCACTTTGTTTCAAAGTCATTCATTGATTCGACGTTAAATTGGCTAAGTAACATTTTATGTTAACGATAGCAAACTATGTTGGCTCGCTAGCTAAAGTAATGTTAATATGTCCTTACCCCAAGGTTTTCCATCTCAAAAACTTTTCTCTTAAGGACATTATCTATGGTTGTGTCATGGACAACAACAAAGACAACTTTCTGATTAACAACATTGTCATTCTCTGGAAATTTTATATTCACAAGTCAAAGTTTTTGAAAGTGAATCCTAAGTTTTGTGTATTTCATAATGAGCTTCTTTCCTTTACAAAAGCCCTTAATGTTATGAAAACAAAGAATGCAATGAGTTTAGTATTATAGCAGAATATGATTTGGGGAAAAAACCCTAGCCGTTTTCCTTTATTTAAACTTCTTTTATCTTTTTTGTTTTCCCCTATCTTTGATATGCACTTGATCCTTTCTGCAGTATGTGACAAGTCAATGCCATGTTTTTGTATATGGAATATTTGTCAATAAAAAAACTAAAGGAAAAAAAAACAAAAAAAACGTTAATATGTCCTTTTCTTTCGGTTAGCAAAGTAACGTTAACCTTAAGTTAAGGCTATTAAACGTAACGTTAACTGATGTTACATTAATATAAAATCGCACAACAAGGAAATGACCTAGCTAACTGTTAAACATTATTTAAAGAGAGAATATGCATGAAAATATGTTGGATTTTACATGGTAACGTTCACTTTACTTGCTGCCTACAGCTCAACAGTTAGACTGGGCTGTAGTGTTGTGTCGTTCAAAGAACGTTTCGTTCATAAGACCTAATCCTGTGTAAGACTGTTTGAGTCGTTCATTTGTCACGTGACAGCTACTGTGGAGCAGGAATGAACGACTTGTTCACCGCTCACATGGGTCCTCCTCAGTCTTTCATTCACTCGGCAGGCTCAGAGGCTGCCAGCGCCGGAGAATGTGATGTCAGGTAACAGTCACTGGACTGATATTATATAGCTATTTTGTTAATTATGTGACATTTAATAAAGCATACCGTTATTACAGCGCAGTGATGTTGTGCTAAGTTATAGTTTTAACACAGCCACAGTAACTTAGTCCTGCTAATGTTTAACATTACAGCTAACAGCTGATGAGAGTTGTTGTGGGTCCACTTCAGAGCCCTGACAGGGTTCTACCTGGAGCCAAATTACCTCAGAGGTCGTCTCCTCTCCAAAACAAACAGACCCGGTCAATATTACACAGCCACGTAGCAACGTTAGCGTTAGCCCTGTAAACAGATAACAGCTGATCTGGTTCGCCAGAGTACGCAACATAACTTTTCCTTTTTATTTACCAACAGAGCCGTGCTGTTGTTTCACAGCTCTGACTGGTGAACAACCTGCAGTGTTTGAGAGCGATGCGCTCATGTGTGTTTCTCTGTCTGCAGAATCAGGACCTGATGTGGCCCATTCTGCGTCCAGAACTGCCAAACTGCTGCATTTATATAATGTGTTAATATTTCTTTGTTCGTCTGTCTGTGCTGGAGTTCTTTAACAACTTGGTGGCTTGATCCAGATTATTATTAAATTGGCTGAATTTTAATAAGAGTGTGTTTATTCATATAGTGTATCAAGCTTATTACTTAAGTATATTTACTGCAAATCTGATATTAATATTTTACTCATGGAGAGGGACGTTTGGCTACTGTATGAATGAGCACTTTAGAGATAATGATAGTAATTATATACATAAGCCTTTATATAGCTGGTCTGGTTGTATACTCTGGAAAGATTGTGAAAATGGAAGGATTTAGCCGGAGTAGTGGTGATTACATATTGACAACATATTTTTGTGGTTTTAACATGGTTTGAATCTGGTTGTGGGCCCAGGGGGCTTTATATAATGATGATATACAGTAATCAAGAGGTGAATTTCTGCACCACAATAACCAGCCTAGTTCAAATGAATGAAATGAACGAAATGACTCAAAAAAAGATTAGTTCATTTTAATGAACGAGATTTGAATGAACGAGTCTGTCAACAGACTCGAACTTGCCATCACTACTGGGCTGGATTTGGCGCTTTCAGTCACGTTCTCCACTCTCAGGAATTAACGTTAATACATTGAAAGACATTGGTGAAAAAATATAACTTTAGATCAAAGCAAATAGCAAGTTTAACAGTTAGGCTACTGCGTAGACTTTGACAAACCTGGGCAAACTGTTGTATTTTTTGTTGTTAGTGACTGGTATAAATTATGTGGAAATGTAAATTGTGTGTTTTTTCTAGTGCCTTAAAAATAGTTATTGAGACATTACAGATTCTATCATGGCCAGTATTCCACAATTTCACCTTTAACTACAGACATTTGGTCACTGTCTCAAAGGCACAGTGTACTCTGTTGCGGCTGATAACCTTGCTGCCCATGGGCACAAAGTCTTCAAGGCAGTTGCTCGTGGCACTCATAAACAAAAATGTGTTGAAAACTTTGACAGAGACACCAAAACATGATGGCATTCTATTTGTCATCACCAAGATTTTCCAAGCCACCAGTACAGACTTCAAAAGTGGAGACATCTTCTTTCTACTTAAGGACTATGAGGCCTGGTATGTTGAGCATTTGCGGTCATATGAGCTAACAGATCATAAAAGCAAGGGCCATACAGTGAAATCTGTATGTCAGCTAACTGACCGAATGCCGCTGTTTGCCTACAGGGTTTCAAGCAAGCTAATTCTCACAACTAAGCATTTCATTCCAGTGTCCGAGTAAGAGAGCAGCACATCCCCAGCCTTCTTCTCAGGGACCTGAGGGAGGTTAAAGATCTGTCTGGACCTTCAATGAACACTAGTGATCACCTAATGGACACACTGGACAACATAATTAAAGGTAATTTCTATTTTCCACTATGACCCATGTGTCATCACAAAGGTAAATACATGCAATGTAGTGGTTAACTGTCTGTGAGTACACTTGGGATATCCCAATTATACCATATTCTGTTTTAAAATGTTTAATCAATACTTACTTTGGGAGAGCGTGATGTTTAGATTGTTACCACTCTCTTGTCTGAATGGTTAATGAAGCTACAGAGTGTGGTTGGTCCAGGCAGCTAGTGAAAAATAGCAGCAGCACCTAGAGTAGCGGTGTCTGTTTTATGTTACAGGTTTCCCTAACACAGTGTAAATGGAAGCGACTGATGTCCTGAAACTAAGGGTCATCCTTGATGATATCAACGCTGAGAGGCTTATTTTGCCCTCTCGTGCTGAGAGTGTAAATGCCCTCATAATTGAGAAAAAAAATAAGATGAACCTTGATTATGACCTTCGTCTTCAGTTTCAAGACCCAGAATTTCACAATGCCCTATGCAATTTAGTCAACATCGAGGACCTACCATCCAAGGCAACCATTAAGATAGTTACATATCTTGAGCCAGATCTTAGTTCAACCAGCACACACGATACAGTGCTACTGTCTGATAACACAGATTCACCAGAGCGTCTTTGCCGATAGCCAGAGGTTTTTGTTATTCCAACATTCTCCTACGAGGTGGAGCATGCTCTAAGAGAGGGCAACTCTGCATTTGTCAAAGAGGGGAAAACTGTAAGCTTGACTAGGGATCAAAAATACAACATACTGGAAGGAATGGCTGCTAAAATATATAAGCATAAAGCATATCCCAGTACCAAAAATATTGCCATGGCTGCAGAGGCTCTGGTGAGCAAACACCCCTGTCTAAAAGAAAAAGGTTCCAAAACAGGGTATGAGAGTTGGAAGAACAGCCTGTGCTTCAAGATGGGCAACTACAGGACCAAACTGAGCAATTTTCCCCATTTGGTGTGACTGGCATAAAGGTCGTGGCTGTGAATGCGGGAAAGTGCAGCAGGACCTATCCAGAAGGTGCAGCATCCAGGGCCAACATCAAAAGGAAGGAAAAATAACCTTCCTGCCCAATTATCCCCAAGGAGAATCTTAAGGACACACTGGAGAACCAGAGGCTTGAGATGGTGGAGCAGTTCAAGAAGACCGTGACTGATAGATATATGATTATCATCCATCAATATACGCAGCGCACCTTTGCTCTCAGGCGTGAAGAAATTGTGAATTCAACTCCTCCCATTGCTGAACTGAAAGAATGATGGCCTGCACTCTTTTGTGAAGCCCAAGTGAGTAAAAACTTAAAAAATTG